TATACATAATATATATCATTTACATCGAGGGCCGCCAAGTAAACTATGGTATGTCATCTTTTGCAAATTGCAGGAGAGACCAAAAAAACGGATTTTCTAGAAGAGTTTTAGGTGGATAAACTTCATTTTCATAAGGGAGCCTACAAATGCATAGGCTGGCGTACAAATGTCTTCAATTTGTATGCAATTTGTATAATATGCAAATTACTTGATTTACACGAATTTCTTACGTAAAAACACACGTGTAAACTCTTGTAAGTCAAGTTACAATACTTTCACCAACGCTCGGCTCACACGTAAACTATGGTAAGTCCGACATTCAATAGTATACGCGCGGAAAAGAGCACAAACAACAGGTCATCGGGGGCAACTTGCAATATTTTGCACAAAGTATTATTGGAATATAAAATGACAAACAGACAGAGATGCTGCGTTTACGCAAAAATATACACACTCTTGCGAACACTTACACAAGCACACACTCATTAATTGTCAGCCATGCGCACCACCAACTTTTGATCAGCTAGGTAACACCTCTCACTCAAATCAAACGGCGACAAGTTTTCATAACGCTCATGCTCATTATTGCAAGCTTCCAGCATTCAGCCACATCCTTGCTTTGAACCGTACTTAGGGCTGATGTATATCTTGGCAGTTCCTGTCACAAGAACTCACTGTATAATTGTGAACAAGACAAACAATGACAATCCTCTATGATCGTTAATGAGAACCCTGTGGCATCATCAACTAACGGAAATATGAAGCAATCTTCTTGATGTAAAAAAAGCAAGTCTCATATAGTTTCCTGGCTATGTATCGTGGCTTCATTTGTTTTGCTGTGCTCATGATGCTATCCCATTGTGCAGAGCAACATGGTCAGAAAATACCTATTTCTGTTTTGACTACTTCACGAATCTGAGTATAGTGACATGTACTTGAAACCTTTTTAATAGGCACCTTTCAAAAAGATTCATACACACAGGAATCGATTTCGTAGACCCTCTTGCAGCAATGCCTACGTGCCACACGAGAGGGTAAATGTGTTCATTCAGTTTTCTTTTGTGAAAATGAATTATTGTTCGGCAAGTGACTGCTCACGAGAAAAAATAGCGTAAAGAATTTTAAAAAACGTGATTTTATCGAAATTGGTACCGTTTAATGATCGCTAGCATATTAAAGATGAATTGAAATGAATTGTTAATACATATACAAATGAACTTGAACACGCAGTATTCACCGCAATCACCCAGGCAACTGTCAGCAGGAGAATGGCATTATTGGCGACATACTCCTCGTCGGAACGGGCTGTTGCTCTTTTCATGATAATATCGAGGCAGGTATGAAGGTGGATCTGTGGGTGGTTCCGGGGTGGGTCTGTGGGTGGGTCTGTGGGTGAGTCTGTTGACTGATCTGTTGACGTATCTGTAGAGGAGGCTGTTGACGGGGTTTTGTGAATTCCAAAACGTTTAAAGCCGGCGGGAAAGGAGCCCAGTAAATCCAATAATGACGAGAAAAGTGACGGTCATCATGTTGCTGCAGCGTGAAGTGTGAGTTTCAGGAAGGTACAGACGACAGATTAGGTTATGACAATAAGTGATTGAGAAAATAGAACTCCCCGATAAAGTAATCGTAGCACTTTCAAATGAACAAGAGACTTAGTAAAAGTCGCAAAATTGAAAGACAGTTGTCATAAAAATAATTTTTTTTAAATATGCAGGAGGAAGATGAATGCTTTGTCCTTATCAGAATTCCCGCCAGGAAGGTTTCTAGCTGTACAAGCATACGTGCAACAACAGCAACTTCGCCTATATGAGACTTGATACCAACAACACGAACAACAACATCAACACAAAATAACAACAGCAACAACAAAAACAAAAACAACAACTACGGCAACAACAACACCAACAACAACAAAAACAACGACAACAACAGCAACAACAACAAAAACAACAACAACAATATCAGCAGTAGCAACAATGAGACAAGCATACTACAAACTTTGATGTACATTAAACATTAATGACGCATATACGTGTACTTCATTTCATCTCCGTTTAAGTTTTCCTAATTATTAACGACCCCACACACGCTGGTTGGCACCTTCTGTTTACAGTGAAAGTGGATGGCAAGCTATGTTATATTTCTAACAAAAGAGGTATTCCCGCAATACGCAAACTCAAGCTGTAAAAAAAATTATAAAAGAATAAGAACAGAATAAAACAACACACCAATGACACATATTTGTTCTGAATACTTCCTGAATAGTTTATTTTTATTTTTTAAATTTAAATATCAATGCAATATCAAACTTTTTTCAATCTACGGCCGAAATGCTGTTTTTAATTAAACTTACCTTTCTCACTTCGGCTTATTAAGATTAAATACTAACAACCGCGCAAAAGGCCCGGGGGGGGGGGGGGGGGGGGGGGGGGGAGAAAAAAAATCTCTTGCATACCGTGTATGAACCGTCGTTCGAATACTGATATAATCTTGACGTATGTCGACAGCGGGATTAACATGAACATGAATCAAAAGATCACCAATGAAGATCTCAGTACACGTATAAAACCTGGTATAAATTCCTTTACCTCTTTGTTTTCTTTGTGTTGTCTGAGTGTAGCGTGTAAATAGACACCAAGCTACGGCCTTTTCTGCCAATTCTCTATGAGTGTAAAAAGAAAAGGGAAGGGGTGGGGGTGGGGTGGTTATTAAATCATCTCCTTGTATGTTTTCTAAGGGACATTCACATGTATTTATTAAAACATAACCATGTGTATTCAAAGCCTAGGGCATGGTCGTGTTCTGCCCCAATATCATTTAAGGGCGGAAACATTTTTTGTTTTTTTTGGTTTTTGTAAAGTGTTTTACGGCAATCGCAACTGCATAGGTCATAAGAGCGCGGGACACACCTACTATTTTCAGTTGGTAGGAGATTTTGAATTTTGCCCGGGTGGCGGCCGAAGCCTACTCTTATCGATTTTAGACCACCAAGGGATCTTTAACGTGCGCAACTTGCACAAGGGCCCTCAGAGATTTTTCGCCCTTGTCCGAGAAGGTTAGATGTAGATCTTTCCTACCAGAAGATCAGGGGTGTGGCAGAAAGACAGCAGTAAGGAGGGGCCAAGGAGTAGCAGTAGAAAGGCTGCAGAAAGAGTCAGGAGCCCAGAGGATGGGGCAAAGGAGGTGAGGGGTGGGGGCAGAAAGTGGAAATGAAAGCAAACAACAGAACAATGCTAGAGAGCAGGAAAGGAGGTGAAAGGAGACAATTTTAAAGAAGAAAATTTTTTGGTCGCTACCCGGATTCGAACCCGGGACCTTTGAATGAGAGGCTAACACCTTAACCTCTAGGCCACGAGAGCCCCCCGCGAAAACACAGAGAACGCCAAAACTTAAGCGGCTGAAGATCGACCCGGACAGGCGCCAGTAGGTGTCTGCTTGACTCCACATAGAGGGCGCCTAAAGCCTAGATCTAGATATAAAAGAAAAAAAAATACAGCTGGTATTTATGAAGCATTTATTTGGAGATTTAAAAAAAACTCGAAATTCCTAGAATATTGCTTAATAATGTAATTCTGTCAAATTGCCACCCTAATTTGACGACGCTGATTTAAAAAATGTAATCAGTTCTTGTCTGCTGTGAAGCACCAGCTCTGAAATGGCCGTTTAAAATTGTCCCCTGTCCAGTCGAGTTGGCGACGGAGAGACGGCATTGAGAGTTCGCGACCTCAGTGCTTTCTTGTCGCATCGTCATTTTTAATAACAGTGAAAGCAGTTCACAAGTAAGAGTGAGCTTAAGAAGAAGTCACATTTTCACTGTTAAAAAAATGGAGATACGACAAGAAAGCACAGGGGTCGAGTGAGTTGACAGAGAGGTGCCCTTCCCAGTTTTTCGGCGTAATAAGAATGTAGTTTGGATTCCGATAAAGCCGACAACGCCGATCCGAGCTTAAAGCCGCCTGCAGTCTGCCAGCTCTATGTGGGGCAAATTGGAAATCATAAGGAAATGTTATACCTCTTGGCGCTCACTGAGTCAGTCTCCGAAATCAGCGTTCTTTAAGTTTTCGCCCTAAGCCTACATCAAAGGCTTTCAAAAATAGGGGGCATCTACTTTAGGACAAAAGACATTTTCTCATGGAAATGAAGTTTATAAAATTACTCTACCATTGTGCCTCACTTATTGTATTATTGGTTTCAATTTATGGTATCTTGTCCATTTGCATAGCCACAGGGAAACATTGTGGTGAAGGGGACGGGGAGTTGGGGGTGACATTTGTTTTTGAGTGGGTGGGTGTTGTTTATTCGGGGGTTTTTTGGTTGTTTCTTTGTTTCTTTTCTTTTTTTTGGGTGTTAATTTCTTTGTTTTTAACTTGTTTTTCCTCGTCCCAAACATAGACCCTCATCCAGGCGTAAGTGCGTATGAACTTTAATTCCTCTCTGTTATGTATGACTCTTTACAGATCTTTATAATTTCTAATGTATAATAGAGCTGCTCGTTTGATCTTAATTTAAAAAAGGCCGATTCTACTCGCCCAATGTCGGGTGACTAGCGCCAGGCTACTCGCCCAATGTCGGGTGACTAGCGCCAGGCTACTCGCCCGATCTAGAGTGGCTAGCGTCAGAAATGCAGCGCCGTGATGCTATTAAAGATTGTCTAATTACTACCAAGATGTTTCAATTGCCCTACCTCGTGTCTGAACGAGACTTAGGCGCTAGATCTACTTCGTCTTCTTAGCTCGTGACGGTCCGTGAAGCAAGTGTAAACAAACGTTACAGCCCTGGGTTGAAAGCGATAAATTTTGTCTTCGGGCAGAGAGAGAAAGAGAAAGACAGGAGGAGGAGGGTGGGGGAGAGAAAGAGAGAGAGAGAGAGAGA